AATCTAAGGGGTGCTCCTTTGTATGTGATTTCCTTCTTTGACCTAGCTGCTTGTAGTATTGTGTCTTTATCCACGGAATCCATCATTCTGACTATAATATGCCTTGGAGTGTTTTTATTTTGGACTCTTTTTGCTGACACCCTTCTGGCTCTTTGGATCTGGATGTCTGCATTCTTTAATTCTGGGAACTTTTTAGCAATGATTTCTTTCACTGTGGCTTTTTCATTGGGGTTGCCTCCCTGTCCTTATGGTACTTTGATGATTCTAATTTTCTTCCTCTTCGCATCATCCCCTAGCTCTCTGATTTTCCTTAGAGTTATTTTGAGGTCTTTTCCATTGTTTCTTGTTCCCTATACAATTTCTTTTGCTCATCTTCTAGCTCACTGATCCTATCTTCGTCTGTAGTCATTCTACTGCTGAGGGCACCCACAGAGTTTTTAATTTCATCTACTGAATCCTTTATTTGTGACAATTCTTTTTTTAGCTTTTTTATTTCTGCTCTCATTTCTTCCTTTATTTTCTTGACTCTCTGTTCCACTGTTTCTTTCATTTTTTCCTTTAATTTTATGAATGTCTGCTTCATTGATTCTTTGAGTAATCCCTTGAACATACGCAACATTTCATCTTGGAATTCTGTTTCAGAGAGAAGCTTTTTGTGGATAACACCTGTTGAGGATTCAGGACTCTATTCTTTGTCTTCTCCTCATAGCAGTGCTGTTCCCCATGTTGTTGTCGTAGCCTAGATGTGAAACCTTGGAATTCACTAGCACTGTTCCCTCTTATTGCAAGAAAGGATTCTGATTAAGGTCGGTCGATGGTGGTCGCCCTTCTCCCCTTCTAGAATATGTCCTTCTTCTCACGCATTATTCTGTGGCTTATGACAGGCATCTAGTGAAGTGTTGGAGGAGGTACTCTTTTATATTGGGCTTGTACGGCTTCTTTGCATAGTGGTATTTTGTTGGAATTGTAGTAGGCCAGTAGATTATTGTTGTATTATGGTTGAGGAGGCCAGGACTTTTTCCACAGAAATAGGTGATTAAAGGCTGGGATGTGAGTTGAGAGTGCTGGGAATGGGAAATGTCACCTGCCACACAGAAGCCCATGCCCACTTTGAGAAGGTCACGCCCCTGTGGTGGAGGCCACACCCCACCTACAGAGGAGGTCAGCACCAAGACGAGGTGGTTGGGCAGCCCAGTGGAACTCAAGAGGTGTTCCCCAAAGTCTCCTAAGGCTGCCCGGCTGTGGGGGAGTGACGCATGGGAAAGGGCACGTGCATGGGGCTCAGAACAGGGACACACTCCCCAGCTCCACAATGAACCTGCAGAGGAGCTCTCTTTTTCAAAAAGTTTATTTTAAAAATAAGTTGATTTTAAATTGGAAGGAAGAAAAATAATTGTATTTAAAGACATTCACTGAGAGAAACCTTAGGGAGAGAATGAGAATGAGAGTTAATATGTTAAAAAGAGAACATGGGCTTCTTCAGAGTGGAAAAAGCTTTTAAATTTTAATTAGTGCTGTGTTGAGGTATCACAGAAGCTACAATTCTGATCACAGGCACTGTATGGTCCCCACGCACCACCTGAAGTGGCCCCTGAGCACTGTACCAAGAGTAGCCCCTCAGTGTTCCCTCCATTACTCCTCGCCTCCTACCTAAACGATCAATTAACAGGTTCAGAAGTAAAAAGCTGTTGCATTAATTTATGAATCATCTCTTCAGTAACATCTACTGTTTGATGCTCTCTCTAAATATGCAGAGATAATTACATATAAGGAAATATAACCATATACGACTACATAGGACTTCATATAAACAGTAGACTAAAAATAAAAAATTTAGACTCAAATATGCAATCATTTTTACTTATTATGTTAACAGAAGCTAGAAGTAAAATTCTTCAGCTTTGCAGACCCAATTTATTCAAATATTATGGTTACATATCCATATGATTATTCCTATGATTATTGTCCTAAAGGACAGTGGTGGGGATTATATTCCCAGTGGGATGAAATGTAAGTACTGCACTTGGTTGGCTGAAAGCATGAACAATGAGTAAATGTTTGGTTTGAAGGCTATAAACTAGGATTAATAGAATTAAAAGACTGGGGGCAAAATTATTCTTGGGGACAAATTTTGTTGATAGATCTCTCTGAATGGGGACAGTTTATGAAAACATAAGTACTCCATGTGAATGCTTACCTAGGCATCCCCTGCTGAAGAAGTTTTGATATTCAGGTAGATAAATGATGTTTTCTGCATATTAACCCCCCTTTCTAGCCACCTTAGTGCTTGCTGAATGGGTTCCTAAACAAAAATTATGAGGATTGATGACCTTGTATTGATGTGTTGTAGAATAACATTGAGCCTAGAGTAGGTAAATTTGCAGGGATTTTCAAGCCAGCCATGAAGAAGTCAAGAATAGCCAGTCTCTCCTATTTTGCTCTAAAAACCCTGTGACTTGAATCAAGCTAATCTGTTGCAAACACATGAAAAGACCAGGTCAGCCATGGCCACTGTGAAAACTAAGGTCAAATGTCTCACTAATTCCTCAACTAAAAAAATGAGTATAAAAAAGTCCGTTTAGCCCAAATTCTTAATTTGCATTTCTTCAAACCTAGAATGGTTACTGTGCAGTTGAAAAAAAATACATTTGGTGGTCAGTCAGGATGTTAGTTACTTTCATATGCCCAACAAAGCCTTTTTCCCTCCAGTTTTGGGGTCACACTTGGTAGTGCTCAGGATTTATTTTTGGCTCAGCATCTAGGGATCATTGACATGTTAAGGAGACCATATGTGGTATTGAGAATGAGCCCAGCTAGAATACATGCAAAACAAATGATCTACCCACTGTACTATATGTCTCCCTGCCCCCCCTCTTTCTCTCTCTCTCTCACACATGCTCTTGCTCTCGTTCTCTGTTTTTCCCTCCCTCCCTCCCTCCCTCCCTCCCTCCCTCCCTCCCTCCCTCCCTCCCTCTCTTCCTTCCTTCCTTCCTTCATTCCTTCCTTCCTTCCCTTTCTTTTTTTGTCACTTCACAAATTATTCATGGGCTGGAGTGATAGCACAGTGGGTAGGACGTTTGCCTTACATGCTACCGACTGGGCCGACCCGGGTTTGATTCCTCCACCCCTCTCCGAGAGCCAAGTTAGCTACCAAGAGTATTCTGCCCACATGGCAAAGCCTGGCAAGCTACCTGTGACATATTCGATATGCCAAAGACAGTAACAACAAGTCTCACAGTGGCGACGTTACTGGGCCCGCTCAAGCAAATCGATGAACAATTGGAGGACAGCACTACAGTGCTACAAATTACTCATATATCTGATTTGCTCTGTTGGCAGTAACTCACCTGTTGCAACATCATATAAATTTAAAATAAACCTTCAGGGGTGGAGGTATAGTAGGTAGATTAAGGAAGCAGAAAACAGAACTTTGTGTTGACTTCCTTTTTGGATAGAACTCAATTTAAACCCTGAAGTTAGGGCTGGATGTATAGCACAAGAGGTAATATACTAGTTTTGTATGTGCCAAACCTCTAGAGAGACACTGAGCACAGAGCTGGGAATGAACTGCTGAATGTTTCCATATCCCCTCTCCCTGACACAAGGATCTCTGAAAAAGTTTCCTTTTTCTTCCTCCATGTAGCAGTAGTATTTTATTTTAGTTAACAACATCATGTAATTCCTCACAAAACTTGGTCTACCTATGATAAACATATTTTAGGTCAAGACCTCAATATGGCCAATTTTACTGTGGGAATTAACAAGCTTTATGGAGGTGGGTTACATATATATGCCCTTTTCATCATGTAGGAAGTAGAATTTTACCTCTTTGAATGCCATTTTGTTATTTTTAATTAAAAATATTAAAAGTATTTAAAGTAATATAAAGAATTTAATGGCATTAAGTTGGGTATTAAGGATAAGTGTAGTATTTTCAGTTAGATACTAAAGGATAAGTGTATTATTTTCAGTTAGGTATTAAAGGATAAGTGTACTATTTTCAGTCTCTCATTTTTGCTATCCTATTTCCATATTAAGAAAAATAACTGCATATAAACAAAATTTTTATTTTGAGGATTTTATCATTAATTTTTGGCCACTGAATTTTAATCCAAACCATAATTAGGAAGAAAGAAGTTAAATATTATAATTTAAAGCATTCAGAAACTTCCTAATTATTAAAATTATAAAATACACTGTAATAAACACATTTCATGAATAAAAATGGCCTTTTTATATTTATTAACATAAACTTATTAGGTATTTATTATCAATTTATCACTAACATAAGTACTGAAGTATTAGAAATTGTTCTGGTATGGAATAGTCCTTGCCCTTAGGTAGCTTATATTTCAAGACTTTTGCACAAATGGCTAATGATTATTCAAGCAAAAATGCTAGTACCTGAGATCAAAATAACTAAAGGAAAGATGATAATAATTTTTTATTTGTTCCTTTTATTGAATTAACAAGAATCAGACATTAAATAAAATCTGTTTTTATTCCATATATATTTTACCACTGTTCTCTTATTTTCTGTACAACTGCCTCCCATTTATACTAGGGTAGAAAGTTAAGTGAAAGAAGAATGAATAATTAAATTTTTTCTTAACAAAATGTTAGCAGAGAAAGGTTTGATATTATAGCAATAGTTTATAAACAGAGCTAAGAGGAAACACAAGAGATATTATTAAGATACTACATCAGGGGAAGGCTTCACAGAATAAAATTTAGGGTCTTATTTAACATTGTTAAAGGTATAAGATGAATCATTACATAATTGCCTCCAAGATGCATCACTAGTGTTTGGATTTTAGAGAAAATTTTTATTATTTCATTGATGAAGAAATGTTGAAATTACTTAATTGAATCAACCTATTTTTTGCACTTGGAGGCAGGCATAATGTGTATCTATAAGCTGAGTCCATAGATTTTTCAACCTATTTTTATAAGAGAAATGTAATGTAAATTTAAAGAGCTTAAAATGAGGCTTCTCTTCATTAAATATTTCTCTTGGAATGCATATAATTGCTCTTGAATCTCTTCATAGCATTCTTAATCTCCTTATTCCTCAAGGTATAAATGGTTGGATTTAGTAGAGGTGTGATAACAGAGTAAAAGACAGCAAGAAATTTGTCCACCCACGTGATGCTCAGTGGCCACACATAGATAAAGATGCAAGGTCCAAAGAAAAGCATTACCACAGTGATGTGGGCAGTACAAGTAGAGAGTGCCTTAGATGCACCGGTTTTAGAGCTTTGGTGTACAGTGAGAAGAATATATGTGTAAGATATCAGCAACAGTATAAAGCAGGTTATAGCCAGTATCCCACTGTCAGCATTCATTAATATTCCTAAGTTATATGAATCTATGCAAGCAAGTTTGATTACTAGTGGTATATCACAGAAGAAGCTGTCTATTTCCTTGGGGCCGCAAAAGGGCAACTGCACAATCACAACCATTTGGCTCATGGCATGCACAAAGCCAATGGTCCAGGAAATCACTACCAACCCAATGCACTTTTGGAGGCTCATAATCGTAGAGTAGTGGAGTGGTTTACAGATCGCTACATACCGGTCATAGGCCATTACTACCAGTAGCACCATTTCACCGCCTCCAACAAAATGCACAAAGAGGATCTGGCACATGCAGCCTCCAAAAGAAATAATCTTGTTGTCTCTGAGAAGGTCTGTGATCATTTTAGGAGTTGTGACTGATGAAAGCAACATATCGACAAAGGACAGGTTGGCCAATAAGAAGTACATGGGGGAATGAAGATGAAGGTCAGTGATGATTAAAATCACGATGACAATATTTCCAGAAACAATGATCAAGTAAAGGATAAAAAATACCATTAAGAACAACATCTGCGTGTTCCATGAATGGCAAAGTCCCAGAAGTACAAATTCTGACACTACAGAGAGATTTCCCGTTTTCATTTTATTGTGTGTCCTCTAAAATAACCTAGAGAGAAGGAAAGATAGTAGAATGGAAAAAGACAAAGTTTTAGAAATTTTATGAGCTTCTTTATCTAAAAGTCAAAGTATAATAGGCAAGACAAATATTGGTAAAATACAGATATTCCAAGAAAAGCTAAATGCCTTTATTGATTTCCTAAGAAAACCTTGAGCTTGGATTCTTATGTAATTAGTTTTCCTAAGCAGGAGACCTAAAGTTAAAATTAAATATAAAATGGTTATGGTGTCACTAGAAACTAGCTTCCATCCTCCTATAAAAAGAATCTTGATGGGGTACAAACAATAGTATCAGATAAAACAATTAAAGCACAAGTCATTTACTCAGAAAGATGGTGGTGAACTGATTTTGTAATCCATAACAAGTAATACTAGTGATGTATTCAATATGCCTAAAACAGTAACAAGTCTCACAATTTGCTGTGAGACGTTTCTGGTGTGCGCTGGAGCAAATCAATGAACAAAGGGAGGACAGTGCTACAGTGCTACATTATTTATGCATTATACACAAAGTGTTCTTTAAGCCTCAGCTGCACCTCTTCTGTCAGGCATGTAAAATAAACATTTAGCTTATCATTCTGAAATGCACCCTGAAATCTGTAAGAAAGAACGTAAATAGGAGGCCAATAGTGACTTGAATGCAAAATCAGGTGCATAATTTATCAGCATGTAATATCTACAATGAATAGAATTTATATAGTAAGAAGCTATATAAGAAAAAATTAACCATTGTGGGAAATGAGAATCAGAATCTGACTTTATCAATTCTGAATATAAGAATTTATAAGCTAAGTTTATCAGTAGGAAATATTTGCCTTCACTTATATCAATAGATAATAATAAGTCCTTACATTTTAAAATACTGGTGCAGGGGCTGGAACAATACTACAGTGGATGGAGTGCTTGCCTTATATGCAACTGACCTGGATCTGATCAGCAGCAGCACATATGGTCTCCTGAGCCCACCAGGAGTGATCCCTATGCATAGAGTCAGGAGGAAGCTCTGAGAACCATCAGATGTGACCCACAAACCAAAAATAAAATAAATATTGGCATGTATATGCACGCGACCATCTTGGCCGACCTGAGTTCGATTCCTCCACGCCTCTCAAAGAGTCCGGCAAGCTACTGAGTGTATCTCGCCCGCACAGCAGAGCCTGACAAGCTACCCGTGACATATTTGATATGCCAAACACAGTAACAACAAAGTATCACAGTGGAGACGTTACTGGGCCTGCTTGAGCAAATCAATGAACAACGGGAGGACAGTAACAGTGACAGTGAGGAAAATTATAGATGTAGTCAAAGTACATTTTCCTAGTACTAGTTAAATGAACATGAGGTTAAAACTAGAGTACCCATTTGTGGAGTATAAAGCAATATAACATGAGGCTGACACCTAACGATAGTAGACACACAGAACAGGTAGACTGCTCCATAGCTGGAAGCCTGCCTTATGAGCAAAGGGGAGAAAGCAGATGGACTAGAGAAGGGATCACTAAGGAAACGATGGCTGGAAGAATTGGTCGAGATGGGAGATGTGTGCAGAAAGTAAATAAAGGACCAAACATGATGGCCTCTCAGTAGCTATATAGCAAAACAATGCCCCAAAGTAGAAAAAGAGTATGGGGAAAATTGTCTGCCATGGAGACAGGGGAAGGGTTGGAAAGGGGGGTATACCAGGGATATTGATGGTGGGGAATGTGCACTGGTGGAGGGATGGGGGTTTGATCATTGTGTGATTGTAACCCAAACATGAAAGCTTGTAACTATCTTACGGTGATTCAATAAAATTGAAAAAAAAAAACTAGAGTACCAATAATCCTCCCCTGAATATATTGAAGGTTTTGTTTATTTTTCAAAAATAAATTGATACTTACTTTCAAGCTGGAGAGAGGAAAGATAATTACATATTTCTTTATTTTTTCTCTAGTCTTTGTTTTATGTTTTCTGTGTCTCATCTTTTATTCTTTAAAATCTCAAGGGTGATGTCAAGGAGAGCAGGAGAACAATGAAAACTGTTGGCTCATCCTGAGCATGTTTCCATTTCTTTATACTGAGAGTATGGATGTGAAGATTAAGGATAGAAAGAAAGGTTTTTAGAAAGAATTAGGTAAACTGTGCTTTCTTTGTGAAAAGGGAGAATGGAATAATAGTCTCACAAATTATGAATAAACATGCTAAAAGTTTGATTTTTAAGGAAAATATCCTGATATTACATCCAATAAAGATATTTCCTTTGAGAAACTAGAATAATTTGGTATTTTCTTTGATCTTCATTCTTATTAAGATAAATATTTCAAAATCTCCCCAAAACAGATGAAACTAGTTTATTATTTATATATATCTGTTGGAATAAGTATATACATTATAGCTAATAGAAAAGCAGGTTTGACTGTCATTTGAAGAGTAATTTGATAAAAGATAAAAATATACATTCTTGGAAAATTATTTACCAAGAAGTAATTATATTTTAAAATCAGTTTTAAAATTTTTTAATATTTAATAACATAGAATTAGTTACATTAATTACCAGTACTAATCTAATATTCAGAAGATTTTTATAAATAACCATGAACTTTTATAATTAATCAAATTTTGAAAGAAATCTAACTGGTTACTTGATTTTTTGTCCTTGAATTAAACCTGTTTCTTTTTTTGCTTCCTTGTCTGTGAGGAGAGAGCACTCAACATGCCTTGTGGAAATGAGTCAGGAGATATACAAAAAAATATAAAAACTTTTTTTGGTACTCAACACACATGTAATCAATAATTGTTCCTGTCTTTATGCATTAAAATGCAATATAATGTGGTAAAGGTTTTAGAATTAACTTCAACAATCTTTAATGGAAATGAATTACTTGTGGAATTAAAATATATGAAATAAACTTTCTTTAAAATACCTACTACTTTAGACTTTAAAAAAATTACAAAGCACATACTTAACAGCCCTAAGGACTATGTATTTGCAAAGGAAGTATCAGATGTGTTGCTTGACTTCTAAGAGTGGAACTGCTTTTCACCTTTATAGTAGTCCTTTCTGTTAAAATATTCTTGGATTTCTTACCTGTAACTTGGAAAATTTTCTTAATTGCAGGTGCTGAGAATTTTGGGGTTAGTGAAGTTGTGAAATGAAATCAAAGAAGACATATTGCATATGTCTTTTGGAAGTAACAAAACACAGTGACAGTTTTAATCCTCTATCTGTGATGTATTTTTATATCATTAAAAATTCTAAGACTTTGAGACTTCTAACATTTTAATTATTTAAGGAGAAATTTACATGGGCATAATTTTATCAGTTGTCTGAAATATATGAAGCTATCCATTCCTCCCTTTTATTTAATTAGTTTTAATTAAATACAACTCTTTCCATAGCAATTGAACTTGATAGCTTCTATCTCTGTGCTTACAGTTTTCTTAGAACACATTAATCTCTCTGATAGAAAACTTTATCTTCTTAAATTGCAGGGACAAGTTGAGCCAGAATAGCTGGAATGGCTAATATCTTGTAGCTGTCAAAGACATGGGATCTCCCAAAGCGGAAGCAAGAACATGACAGACACACAGCGTTAAGAAGGTTGGTACACTGTGGTTAAAGAGATAGCAGAAATTCCAAGAGAAGGAGGGAGAAAATGGCAACTCCCGTCTTTGAAGTTCAAAAACTAAAGAAGCCATACACAGTCACAAGCATAGTAGACATGCATGAAACAACCACATAAAAACATTTGCTAATTGTATGTGACAGTCACAAAGAACATTACTGGTTACATAAATAACTTACTAAGTACAAGTTTTCTCTAAGATCAGACTATATTTCATTCTTCTAAGGTGTGTTTAAAATGATTTCTCTTGTTGAGTGCAGATGGTATCTATGGTAGTGCTTTCCTCAGTCTGACATATATTCAACAATGAAAGAAATCTCTTGGGTGAGATTTTCCTATTCTATGTTCTGGACTGAACAAAAATCAGAAAAATAATCCACAATAGACATCTCTTGGGAACTTATTTCTTGAGAGTGATGGATTTTCATATTCTGGAAATAATAACAGATAAAAAAGTAAGAGTATGAGAATAAGAATTAAACAATTAATAAAATTTAAAATTATATTTTACTTACCCCCTAGGGACTGAGGAGCTGGTTTTTGAAGCTGTCTATAAATAAATATAGTTGGCCAAATTTTATTAAATAAATTGTAGTGTAAGAGAAGGTATATTATGGCCATTGTGATATATGACTGACAAAAATTTCTGTTAATATTGGGGTTCCCTAATGCTCTTCTGCATTATCTAAGTAGGCAGATAATCATAATAGCCAATTGAATATTCTCTGCGATTACCTGGAGTTCTGACATCTGTCCACTGAGTGTTAGAGAACAAAATACCTGATATGTTTTTTAAAAAGGCATTGATATGAATTCTAAATACATAAATTTAAGCATTTTTATGTTTTAAATGCCTATTAAATTGTAGAAAATATATAACAAACTGCACATATTTAAAGAAAACCACCTGATAAGTTTTTTTTTATTAAAAACTTTTTTAATAGTGAGACATCATGAAGTACAGTTGCTGACTTACACATTTTTGTGCTTGGGTTTCAATTATACAATGATCAAATACCCAGCCCTCCACCAGTGCCCGTTTTCCACCCCCACGGATCCCAGTATCCGTTCCATCCATTCCCCATCCCACCCTTTCTCTGTGGCAGGGCATTCCCCTCTGTTCTCTCTCTCCTTTTGGGTGTTGTGGTTTGCAAAAGAAACATTGAGACACTTTCAACTAGGAATCATGATCACATTGGCGTAAACATAGAGAGCATGCCCACAGTAAATATAGAAAGCATGCCCAATAGCCCCCAGATAACTGTGAGTTCCTTGATAATTCCTTTCTTCCAAGACTCAGTAATCCTTCTTCCTCAAATTGTATTTTCTATTACTGTGCATTAGTTCAAATTTTATAGT